GTGGGGCTGGATGTTTCACAAGCCCCCCCGGCCTGCTGGAGCAGCCAGGACTTGGTGGCTTTGCGGAATGGTGGACATATGGTGGACATGTGCTTATCCCAAGCATGTTTAAACTCAGTAACTGATGCCTCCCCTGGCAGTTGGTGTCAAAGAGCTAATATGAAGTGAACTTAAAAGATAACGTGCGAATGCAGACTTGGGTCTGGGCTTGATTTCATCTTCAGGAGGTGCGTTTCCCACGTTATACTGAGTTTCCAAGTTACTAGAGCTCAAATCTTCACCCAGACCTTGTTTCTGGCTGGTTTGGACAGGTTCTTAGGAGAATCCATATTCCACATGGAGAAGATTGTGTTAATTCAGGGGACTCGAATCATTAATCAAAGAGAGTCCTAAAACGTTACGCACCCCCTACTCCCAACGGGCTTCTGATGAAAGTGGCCATGCTCAGCCATCCAGATTCATTCTGGAAAGTGACACAGATGGGATATACATTTAATAAATGAAAGGTACTGCTACACATTGTCCCTACTGTCATCAGTGCAGGAAGGAACAAGAGGGGGGACATATGGTCAGGTTGCCGTATACCAGTGGTTCCCAAACTTGGCAACTTTAAGACTTGTGGACTTCAACTCCCAGAATTCTCCAGCCAGCTCTGCAGAGGAATGCTGGGCTGGCTGGAGAATGCAGAGCTGGCTGGAGAATTCTGGGAGTTGAAGTCCACAAGTCTTAAAGTTGCCAAGTTTGGGAACCACTGGCCTAGGCTGACCCTAAGGGGTGGGAACCATTTCCACCGGGGTCTTGGCTTCCACAGTCTTTGTCTGGAAAGACACGGAGCCTTCTGCTTCAGCAGGGGGTTGGACTAGAAGACCTCCAAGGACCCTTCCAGCTCTTGTTATTCTGTGTCCAGTTTGGGGCTACCAGTCTGTAGTCCACGGACTGGCATCTGACTCACGTGGACCTTTCCTTTGCCCCAATGTCCGGCCACATCGCAGTCCGCAGAATCGCGCCCTCCAAAGACCAAGAGTTTGTAGCCGCTGCTCTTTCCCTGCGGGCCATAATCCTCTAGCAGCATGGCAGAGTGGCCGGCTCGGGACGCTGTCCGGGATTCCTCTTCTTTGTACCTTGGAGGAAGAGGGGGAGGAGGAGAAGGGAGAGGAGGAGGAGGAGGAGGAGGAGGAAGAAGAGAAAGAACAGGGAGAGGAGGAAGAAAAGGAAAAAAGGAGGAGGAAGAAGAGGAAGAAAAGGGAAAGAGGAGGAAGAAGAAAAGGAGAAAGCAAAGACTTTGATTTTCAATGCATCAGTTTCTTCTGCCTGCTTTTAAAATATCATTGTTGGTTCTGCTGAGAATAAGCTTTGACACAAAGTAAGTGTCACTTAAACAATTCAAAATGCAAATGTATTATCTGCAGTGGTTCCCAAACTTGGCAACTTTAAGACTTGTGGACTTGAAACGAATCACTTGAAGCAAGTACAGACGCCATGTTGTGACGCAGAAGATATTTGCAAGTAAGGACACGCTGGGAGCTATGCAATCTTATCTGATCTTAGACCAACACAGCC